CAACGAGCATCGCCATGCTGATGGTTTCTCTCCGTCCCATCACCGAAAGTTTTTCCACTGATCATTTACCCGAAGTGGGAGACCAGACCATCCTTACTCGAGTAGTCCAATTTTGGGGGTAGGTATTTAGGTGCACGAGAAGCAGCAGCACTACACAGGCACCAGTGGGAGCCATCAACCGAATTAGGGCTCCAGATTTCTTTGGGCTATTGTCTAAAGCATGTGCAGGGGCAGGTGGACATTGTGAAAAAAGCAACTCAGTTGGGGCATCGGCTTGGGCTAAGTGTTGAGAGGCCCCGCCACCGCGATACATTTTTTCGAGCACAGGAAGAAGTTTGGCTTTAAAATACCAGTGCTAAAATTCACGAAAAGTGAGCGCTAGGAAGTCCTGATAAGTCAACCAGATGAGGGAGGGTCTGCTGAGGAAACTCAAACTGGGGAAAAAAATAGAGGTAATTCGCTGGAATGTTGTGGAAAAGCCAAAATGCGCTTTCATTCTGCGAGCCATATTTCCTTTGGCAATAGTATCATTTTGTTTTTTTTTTACCCTATGAGCGAGAAGTTTTGACGATGGAGCAGCACGAAGTACGTTACACCTCGCGATGAGTATCGGAAGGGCCGCAAACCTGCACTTGAGAGGAAATTGCTCCTGCGTGCAACGATGGTAGGCCGGAAGCGAGAAAGCTGTTACTATCGCCGAACATCGGGTGAGTCGTTTGCCTGAGGTAGTTGCTTGTCTCATGGCTTATTCTACCCTTTATGGAGCGATTTCCCCAGAAAGCGAGGGCGACAATGTTATTCTGGAACCTAGCTTGGTGTAGATATCCATATAACCACGGCTGGTAGTGGAAGCGGGAATGCTATTGAGTTGGTCCGAGAGTCCGAGCTCGAGTTTACAGGATTCTCGGTTCGGTTTTGCGATAGCTTTCCTCCTCTTGAGCTGATGTTTTTGCAGAAGAAGAAAATTATAAAATCGACATTGCATGACAAAGTTTTCCTAAACTCGAACTTACCCTCGGGATTACCGTTCAACCAGGTACCACAGACACCACAATGCTTCACCTGGCTGTGATCTACCCATGCCCATATGAGTAACGTAGGCCATCAACGGATACCTGGTCGTACGGCGTTACCGAAGAACCAGTGATGGACGTAACAACCCTCTGATATGTATCACGCTAAGTGACGTAGTTCGTGCTGTTTGACAAAGAGAAATCTCCCAGTAGGAGAACCCAGAGAAAATGCAATGACATAGGTGGGAAATAGCAGACTGATCTACTATATTAAAGTCAATTCTGTTCAATAACCAATCGATCCCCTGGAGCAGTCTTTTGTTGCCTGGCACCTCTCACTCAATGAGTTTTACAAGTACGAGTAGCAATAGGTACGGTGCTGACCTTAAATGAGTGCTGTTGAGGACCTCGGCTCGACGGCCGAGTCCACACTCCATATTTCTGGACTCAGCCGGAGAGCCGAGGCCCCGCCCATCCTGGAAGCACCTCAAATAGTCGAAACATTCTCGACCCTCGGAGGACGGTCGACAAATTTGATCTGAATCGAATTTTTATTCGGTGGGTATACGACACTACCGTAACACCATTTTTGCATTCTTTTAAGAATGCCCTTTTGCATAAAGATACACTTCTCGTCCCTATTCCTCAAAAAATACTAATTTAATGCCAGAAAAGTCGAACTTGTCAGTAAAATCTGGGGCCGGGCCATTTGAGCCCATGTCTACCGGTCATCGTACAAGCCAGTTGATCAAAACCGTCGTCGACCACCGTATGATCATGTTCAGTAGCGGTCGTACGGTAGGTGTGGTGTGATAGTTCAGTGGAGAAGCGATTGGGCTAACGTCTGAGAGGTCGTGGATTCGGATACTTTCTTCATATGTTTAAACATGAATTTTGGTCCCTCTATAAGAAAGATACTGAACCGAGGAAAACACATGTTGTCTTCCCCTTCTTGGAAATAATAAAGCCCGTCGCTTGTGTTGTTCGGTCAGAAATGTTTACTGTGTTATGTGTACTGTGCAGGATGTTTACTGTGCAGAGTTTACTGATCTGCCCTGTACGTCTAAGTCTTATAAAGGCACGAATAATTTTTCTTGAAAGAACTTTGCAGTCTGCTGTTTACAAATCATTTCGAACTTTGGGAACCCTAGCACCCATTTGCACATCATAACATATGTTCGAACACAGTACACATTCCTAGCTCTAGGAATTGCCTGAGAACGTCCGTGCTAAGATCTCGATATGACATTGCAGTACCACTAAGCTAAGTGTCAGTCGAGCGAATGATTTACCCTAGTCCGTATGACCTTTCCTCACTTTCTGAGCTGATGTTCAACCGAATGGGGCAAATTGGTCCCGTTACCATTTCTGCTTCTGTATGAAACCAGGTATGTCATTCACCTCGGGACTTTGAAGCCCTCGAAGAAGAGGGAAGACTCGATTATGCTAAGGTTTGGCGGTTATGTAATAACGCATATTTCGAGTGGCTTTCAAGTGCGTGCGCTCGACTCAAAAATGTCCGGTTCCTTGGTTCATACTGTCATCCAATACTGCATTCCCTTTACCTTCATACTGTTCCGTGGAAGAAAAATGGCCTATTTATTGTTAGACTAGGTGGGGACTCGAAGCTGCTAATCTTCAACTTTCCAAAGCCTGAAGGGATCCTTTGATTCGAACACTGTACATACAACATGGTAGAGTTTCAAGACCGAAGCGTTGTTTTGCTGAGATTGTAAATGGGGAGTCCTGGAATGCTCAAAATCCCAGATTTCGAACACAGGGGTTCAGGAAATCCCCTGTGTTCGAAATCTACACTTTAAGTTTGTTAACTTATTTTGTAGGGGTGGCTCAGCTTGAATGCGCTCTCGTGCGACGACTCAAGCATAAATTTGTTGGGTAACACCCCGAATCCGAACCCTCCACTTCGCAGAAATGAGGCCGGACTCTTATCCGCTACACCGTGTCACCACATTGGTTCTCCTTGGCACTTGGCTACGTCAACCTGCCGATCAGTTTGATGGCGGCCGAAGCCCACTTCAGCTTAACCGAGCTGTCCGATGGACCGGCGGCCAATTCGGCTCAGCAGGACCGAGCCCACACCTCTCCTTTGGAGGGAGTGTGGGCTCGGCCCTGCTGAGCCAAATTGGCCGCCGGTCCATCGGACCTTCAGCAACGTATATCATCCTTTTTGAACTTGCAAAATTCACTGATTCAGAGAGTGCAGGCAAAGTTAATTGGGAGCGGATAGTTTGAGGAGCAGTAGGTCCATTATGGTACTGATGGGAGAATAGCAACTACGTCAAAGAAGGAAGTGAAACACAGGCTTGACTGCTTTCTGCTCTTCTTGAAAATTTTCTTTCATCTCTGGGTAAACAATAAAAAGTAGAACCAGCTTAGAAGCCCCGAAACTTCAACGTTCCAAACTCTCCAGCATTTCGCAGCTCGGAAGCTGATGCTTTTTATCTTCCGACCTCGGAACAGACCACAAGAGGAAAAGCCATCCTTCCTTTCAGATTTAAAAAAAATTAAGCATCCGCTTCAGCACCCTGCTTACGACGTTTGACCACCTCCTATCATCTGATGTCGCTTGGTGAGGTGCTCAGAATGGCGCCAAAACTTTGCCGATGGGCAACTGTACCATGGAGGATTGACTCACTGGTCGTCACATCTATTCTGTCTGCTTCGTATCACGTGCTGGGTCCAGCTAATGGTAATCACTAGATGAGAAGGGACAGAGAAATGTACAGTCGGAGATGGAGCGAGTAGAGAACATACCGATGTGATCTACAACGGATCGAAGAACTGGAGTGAAGGGTCCTGTCGATGCCAATTCTGAAGAAACGAGTGCTCAAAGTACGATTAGGCTTCTTCCACAGTTTTTTGGCCAAAGACTACCTTCCTGCAGAGAAACTCTGGGCGCGCACATTTCAGTTGCAAACTGCGATTTGTTTTTCCATACTACAGGACTCATTGAGTACTTATGGTATGAACAGTTTCTGTTTACCAGTTTTTTCAGTCGAACAGCAGCTTCTCTTCCGCCTTTCCGCTTTTTAACTTCCCTCACCCCTTCCGCAACCACGAACTTCGTGACTAACCTTCTATTTCACGAAGCCAGATTTCAATCCTGGGTGTAAGCCCGAAGACGTCCAGGCAGCATTAACGGGCACTGCGAAACCGTTGGAGACTCGGCATCCTACCAGTAAAGATAAGTCCTCTCACGAACTTGTTAACCATAGGAGTCGTATTTTGTACTGTTCATCTCCTCACGGGAATGTCTCACTAATAATGCACAGAGAAAGCCGACAGAAGGGAGAGTAAGGGTGTCGAGAAGGGGGAACGTCCGTTCGAACGAAACTAAGTCATCCCGCCGACTTCAAGATACAAGTTACAATATACATTTATTACAATAAATTACAGCATATTTACAAAAGCATATAATCGCCTAGCAATTGGATCAACATCTTTATATCGAACCAAAATGAAAACGGCCTTATCAATGACCACAGCTTACTATGACCTGAAAAACAAACAAAAATCACGAGAAGTCGTTTTGGCGACTGGGATACTGTTGTTGTTGTGTAAAGTGACGGGAGAAGCGGTTGAACTGGGACCGAACTTCTTGTGCTTTCCTGAGATTGTGATTACCCACTGCACTATCGACATTTCTCACCCATGGCTTCTTCCTTCTGTTCCTTCGTCATCAATCAATTGGATAATCAGACAGATGTAAGCTTTGAAGGTACTTCTCGAACTTCATCAACACATTAATATATATCAAATACAAAACAACGAAGTCACTGGACGGATTTCAAGTAAAAATACTTCTTCTCACGATGTGTAATTGCCTATAGTGAGTATTGCGGTTATATAAAGGCTGTGCTATTCATTTGTACCTTGTCTGATTTGGAACCGGAGTTCACCATAAAAATCAAGCAGGAGAATTTGTAATGATAGGCTCATAGAAGTCTTGAGCCTTGACTAGCCCAAATGGTTAGGGCACAATACGTTATCAAAAACGAGCCAATTCAGCTCAACACTTTTGAGGGAGAACAGGTGAAGGGGATTTTTTCTTCACCTGTAGACTTGAGGATAAACGTCGTTGGGAAAGAAGAAGACAAAGAAGCAAAAAAAAAACGAGAAGAATACGACAACGAGGAAGAAGAACACGCTGAAGACGTCGGAAAAGAATACGATGAAGACGTCGGAGAAGAATACGATGAAGGCATCGAAGAAGACGTCGAAAGAGAAGACGAAAAAAAATACGATGAAGACGTCGAAGAAGTATGCTATGAAGTCTTCGGAGAAGAATACGAAAAAGAAATGGAGCACGTTCATTGTCAATGTTATACAATCAGGTGCAACTGAAATATCGCTAAAACGCTTCCTTCGCCGTCATGAAGTGTTTCGACCTCAGAAAGGAAATAGTTCAAGTGAGGTTCCCTCCTAGACCGCGATTTTCTCGTATTTTCCGCTATTGTTGAGCTATTCTACAGAAACACTCTTGCCCTTCAACCCAATGAAGCACAAACACGTTTCTGTCTCTGTAATTCACACTGGACAGTTTGACCAATCCAGGTATGCCCCTGTTCCCTTCGTTGTAAGCAGTGAGTCATTTGTAGTGAATTGTAGGGTCCATGTTTACCCTAGTGAAACTGTCAAGAATTTTGTCGCTTGAGTGTGTTTTTAAAGGCACTGTTCACGACAAAAATGGCTTCTGAGATATCAACCTGTAATGTCTTCCCCTCCCCCCGTATTCCATATATAGCGCTGTCAGGCCGGAAAACGGCTTAGGTAGAGACTTATAGAAGCTCAAGGATTGCCCCGTGTGTATATGCGGGCGAGTTTCACCGGCATTATAGAGGCTGCACCGATCACAAAGGAACCAATGTAGGAAGTTCAAACAACTTGTCATAACTCATAGCGACAGTGAAAGGCAGTTCGGTTCAATTCTGGCCCGATGTGGTCAGCTCTTTGCACAATTGCAACAACGAAATCTCGTCCGGAAATCCCTCCCAGTTACTTCCGTCATGGTAATCTCGTACAACCTCTATTTTCAGCTTCTGAGGAGCCTTATTTTTCGCAAAATCGGTGAATTTTCTCGCTTCCTTCACCATCGATGCACTATTCCCAAACAGTATCTCCGCTTTACGACTCAAAGAGGGTACCTCAAAATTATTATGAACGGCACCTTCAAATACAATTGTATTGATTCGTAAACAAATGCAAGGTAAAAACAGAGCTCGTTTAAAACATATTTATTGTCGATTCACAGAAATCTGACAATGCAAAAACTATAGTGTCACCGGTCTTTACGCAATGAAGTCTTCAAAGGAAAGAAAGAAAATGAATTGTTGTAAAACACACACATACATTCAAGTTAAAACCAAAACACATTAGCAATTGAATAGGGCACAATTGGCTTAAACATAAGCAGATTGAGGGGACGACATATGAGGAACACAACAATGAAGTGAGAATGATCAAAAGTGAACGGTGGATAGGTAGGGGAAATGCACAAATCTCATATACCTATACACAAATTTTGTGGCAACGAAAGGCATAAAACACTGACATGAGGGCAACATCTTTCCAGAGGGCGGTATGGGAGGAAATCGGGGGGGGGGGGGGGNCAAGGGAGGAGCCCTGGAGCCATCACAGCATGAACATTACACCCCGGGATAGTCATCATGAACCAGAAAAGTTGTCTAAATATTATGAAATATATCTAAAAAGACTACCACATTATGGTACGACTGGATTACGGTAGGGGAGTGAGTATCAAATGAACGACAAAGGGAAATTAGTGTAGTCACCGAGGTGAGTGGATAAGGATGGGTGGGTGTGTGTGTTTAGACTTCGATAATGGCGTGTGTTTCCGGTAAAGGAAGTGACAACATCAGACATAAAGCAATGATATCAACCATATTTTCATATTGTAAAAAGAGAAGAAATACCACAGTAAAACCTATATGCATTATTTACAGTATGTGAGTATTTGTGAAAATCAAAAAATTGGAAACATCATGAATGGAAAAAAATAATATTGTAGTACTACGGCCTCAAAGTAAAACGAATAGTCCATATATACCCAACAGATAGCAGCAGATTTCGGGTAAAACACGCAACGTATGAATGAGCATGGTATGAAGGCGATCGGAGGATGTCTGTGGGGATGATGGGGTTGGGGCTATAAGCGATGATGGGTGATGATGATGATGATGACATGATCATGGGGAAAGGGCATGTGATGAGGCAGACCCGTAGAGGTTTTGAAAATGGCAACAGCTGTAGACAGGGCATGTGGGATGGCTGGCGGCTATTTCCGATACAGTATGAAACGCTTCAATGGCGGTGGTAGTCGTAGCTCATCAACTCGATGCAGTCGATGACGTCCCATCTCGACACGAATCGCCCGTCGGCAGATGTCCATCAACGGTCGGGGAGCAGCTGAAAAAGCACCACAATCACACATCAGCAACCAGCAAACCAGCAGTACAACAATGACATAAGCAACTGGGTACCCGAAATCTGCTCGGACCAATATTTCTTATAGCTGGACTGAAAATCAGCTCGCACTGGTACCATTTAGTCATCAAATACTGTTGGCCATAGATATTTGTACTCAATGATAGGCATATGCTCAGATGTGGGACGAAATCGCATATGGGTAGGTGGGGGCAAAAGAACCGCAGCAGGAGCCCTGGGATCGAAAGGCATTCCCGGATGGTCCCCAGTTGCTGTGTTCTCGGGCATGGTCTCAATATCCGGTGAGAACATTGTCCATGAGGAATTTGCATGAAGATGAAGTATCGGTGAAAAAGGTAAGGGTTCAAATTTTGGTCGCTCACGTTCTATGCCTCCAAGATATTTCATAGTGATCTCGCAATGTCCCCATACGGCCGATACGATCGGGTACAACGTCTTTCCTTGAAGATTACGGAATGCAACGCCCAGATAGTGTTGGTCGGTCGCAAATGCCATATATCCATCATCCATGTCCAGAATGCAGTAGAACTGAAACAAAGTTGAGAATCAGAGGGCAAATGGAAAACAATTTGAACCACTGAACTGGACAAACCTTATCAGGAATGGGAGTATAGTCGGGCCGCATAGGAACGCCTGTCGGATACTGCCATGGGCTGCAGTTTTTGGAATCGTGATGGCATTCACCTCGAGCTGAATGTGAACTATTACTTCAAGTTTTCATAACAACTGCTGCACTCGGAAACTCCAATGGCCCGCTAATTTTGAATTTTTGGTTGAATGCGTGGCGCGATCCAAAAAGGTGATCGTTGTACTAATTCAATCGATACTCTATGAATTGTATGGGCATACTAATACAGAGGTTCCTAGAAACCAAAAACCACTGCCGTGAACCCTGGGAAATTTGCGACCAATGCGCAAACACGAATAGGATTCCGTAATTCGAGTCATAAATTGCTCGGAGCGCGGCAAAACAACTTTCTCTTGGGCTATTATTTTCTACTATTACTTTTAATACCTCGCCGCACATGAGTTATTCAGCCGTTTTCCTTATGTCATACATGTGGCAATGTATGTCACGGCAATGTAGCTGCCACCTCCGCTCATCTATTAGTCGTAGAAACGAGTGCGAACGGCGCGAGTAGATCAAAAAAGCTTTTGTAGTTAGTATGAAGGTCAGCCGAGCTCAGAAGAACTCTCCTAATGGAAAGGGAAAACGAGAGACCAGAGAAAGAGGTCCCATACATATACCAAAACCAGCCCAATTTCCGGTAAATAACCCGATCAGCTACCGGAGGAGAAGGCATTGGAGAATAGACAATTTTATATAATGATTGATTGGCAGTAATGTACAATACCAGTACGGTATGTAATAACCAGTAAAAGACTCACTTAGATCCCAACCATAACTTTCTGTATTTGTTCCTATCAATGACGTATAACCCATTGCATGAAGTGCGGCCGCCTTTGTTGCCACTCCCACTACTGCATGTGTTCCACGTTGACGTTGTGGCCATTCCAATTGCCACACATGGAATCCGGTTGAATAACCCATCTGGAATATTTCTCTTTTCCAAAAGGGTCACAAAACTAATCAAAGAATCGAAAGTTACAAAAGTAATCTATAAATAATGTGACATGTCATTAAAGTTTCCAGCCCAAATGAAACTCGGATCTCAGACTCAGAAAGAGCCACCATTAACATTTACCTATTATTTTTTAATTTGAACTTATTTAGTATCAACTATTGCCCATTATGCCCAAACAGTATGGCCACGGAAATGGCGTTCACCGATCACCTGACCTGCCTTCCTATCATTTCTATGCATGCCGCTGAATTCCTATTTGAAAAGCTATTTGTCCAGCTGGTCTGGGGACCAAATATGCATGAGAGGAAAAGCAAATTCAACTAGGTCTACTATCAAAAGTCAACACCGACTCGCCCAAATAACTGCGATTAAAAGCATTGGAGAACATTGAAAGCCATTTGAATAGATAATTCTTACCTTTCCTCGTATACAATCTGTGCTTTGGGCCACTGGATGTCGATGAAATGTGAAGCAGTCATCATCTTTTACGAATATGTTTAGCGATCTGAAATGGGGTAAACATTTTTAATAGCAGTTATGACGTTCTGAAGGAAGTCTATAAACAGTTTGATCCCCCACAAGCTGGTTGTGTAGCAAGCACAGCTCAGGACGATCCCTATTGGTTGAGTCTCCAGTCAACCAATAAGAGCCGTGCTGAGCTCGCCGAGATTTCGCCGCGAGCTTCAGACAACGCCTAGTATAACCACCACCTTTGAGCCCAGTAAACCCCAGGTAAATCAAACATACCGATCGTCAGGGTTCCATGCGTGCATTTCTTGTGTTTGTCGATCGATTAAATATTGTGATCCGAGAATATAATCGAATTTAGCCGGTCGAAGCATGTCATCCAAGGCACATGGCTGTAAATTATGAATTATACCAATACACGAAACAGCTCAACAAACATTATCCATCACCCCAGTCCCCTTTACAGCATGAAAAACAACAAGTCAGCTGCACTTTGACAGCTAGGTGCAGCTGACTTTCTTTAGTCACTCATTTGCCATTCGAGAAGCTAATAAAAGTTCAACATTAAATTCTTGACTGATGGCTGCACTTCATTACACATACACAAGAGGAACGACCTGGCACATTCTATGAGAAAACCATTTCTTAGTCATTCGTTCGTACTACATACCCTTCAAAAACATCGTCAAAACAATGAATTATTGATCATTTTCACTGAATTTTTCAAAAACTTCACCCCCAATTTTCTCGCCCCTGCGAATGAAGATGGAGATTGAGCGGACCAACTCTACTGCCCTAATTTTCGAGCAGACGATCATATAAATTTGAAAAGCTGATACATAGACATTCGGGGCTCCTTACAAAGAAGTTCAGACAGGATGGCGGCGATTACTTTGATTATTGATCGATTGCCCGTTCAAGCACTAGGAGAACGGCCACCGGGACTGTTGCGATAAGAGAAGCTTCCGGCACTGAATCACTTTAATGGCAACCTCTGAAGTATCATACCCGGCTAGATTCTTTACTACCAGAGCCAGAAAGGGCAGTCTTTCCTTATTTCTTTCCCTCGTTCTAATTTCTTGTAAAGACGGCCTATAAGGGCAAGTTTACCACTGCGGGAAGTTCCGAGAAAGGCTGTCATCGAGGAGGAATTGCTCCATTTCCCATCATTTAGTATGCTAGATAGTCTAGCCCAATTACGCCTCTTGCCCTCTTGTTATCTTTCTCGTCTATGAATACCCAGGTAATTAAGTCATTGATCGTACAAGAACGGAGACTTCGATAAACAGGGACTAAAGAAGGCCGATCACATGAAGGCACCTAAAGTACGGTATCAAACACCAAGGGAATTATCGCCTGGGAACCCTATTAGCAACAGACAATCAATCATTAGTTTTTATCGAATTAAAGAGGATGCAGAAGGTAGTCTCAAGTTTGCAAAACCAGTTCCCTATGGTCAGTGCACAACATCTTCGAAACGGAATATGGAACTGTTCTCCGACATTCAAATTGTTCATGAAAATATTCGATGGGAAACCCAAAAATCGACAGCTCAGAATCATCTGAAACTGGCACTTCTACTGGACCAGTGACATAGGAAATGAAATTCAGAAGAAAAATAATTGAAAGATCATAGCCAAGAAGTTAGTGGCCATGGGATATGGAAATAAGACTAATCCATTCAAACTTCCTACATTTTACAACTCCTCTTAACTGTACTTATGAAAATCGCACAGTCTGTCAAGAGGGCATAAGTACACAACAAGACAATCGCTCATGCAATGCGTATGAAAGATTTATAGTGCAGAGTCTATTGTTTTCAGCCGGAGTAGTAATAAAGTGTAAGTAATTGTAATGGAGCACGGCACTGAATGAATAGGAAAATCCAAGTAAGAAGGTTACCAGTTAAACAACTTACCGCTGCATGTGGATGAGCAGGTGATAGGGTTCGTTGTGAAACTCCACGACCGTGTAATTTATAATGAGCCGATGATCGGCCACGATCATCTGGAGCTGGCATTCCTCCTGTACCAGCAACACCAGATGTCGATGCTCCACGCGATGGGCACGTTTCGCCTACAGGCGATACTGAAGAATACATAATAATAATATGAAATAATTGGCAATTTGATACGAAACAAAGCTTAATGGAAGCTTCTCTTAAATGTCAGTGCCAGAAGACTGTAAATGAACCGATTCCAGTGTATTCGGTATGATCCAATGTAGAGAAATGTTTAAAAAGTTTATATAGGAAGGTTTGAAGAAAGGAGAAATCATTAAAAAGAATCGTAGCTGTCGTGGAATACGTGCCAAAACTGGTCTTCCGACAATTTAAAGCCAAAATAATAGCCAACAAGACAAAGGAACTCCATGGACGAAAACTGCATTGCAACGGTCATTAAACCAAGGAGAAATTCGCTATGAAAACTGAAGTGTAGAGCGAACTCTTCTCGACATTTGATAGCACCACACTGTACTTGGACACCTCCAAAATACGGTATCACCCCTAACTTTTATTTATTTATTTATTTATTTATTTATCAACTTCTACACTCAACTGAAGGCAATTAATGGTGAAATACAGGGCAGTAATCAACAAGGAGGGCAAGTCGAAGAAGACACAAATCAGACCGCACTCAATCAATACAATCAGGACACGGTATCACAATTAGTAGCTATTATTTAATTATTAAATGATTTATAGCCTCACTCGAAAACATTTAATTGTAGAAGGGCAGAAACTGAGAAAAAGATGGACGAGCCAGTATCAAGGGATACAGCACTGATGCGATGTCGCTAGAGTGACCATTATTTACTCATTTATTTATTTACGTATTTATTTATGCAACCTCTCGATTACGTCATCATCGAAGGCAACTTTGATAGCAATCTACAAAAACAATAACTCAAAGATTGTAATCTTCAAACTGTTCTCAACGATCTTTCCGGGATACTGTAACAAAATCGTCACCCATCACTTATTTATTTATTTGCCTACTTATTTACATACTCGACTGAGCACCGCTAACGACAAGATCCGGGACAGTAACCAAAAGAGGAACTTGAGCAAAAAGGGAATCAAATCGCCAATAAAGCTCTAACCGCTGGAAGGAGAAGAGTAAAAGTCACTCCGTGATAAAGACAGCTCTGATAAATCTGTTAAAAGTAAAAAAAATAGAAGGAGAAAAATCGAGTTAAGTATGAGTGATAAGTAGAAGTCAGTATGGCGTACGCTGACCTGAACCGCTCATATCAGACCACAACAATGAAGGAATATGTATGTCAATTGTATAATTGCCCGCCTATGGTATGTATTGACCAGGCCGATGGCAAATAGACGTGGAATCAGAGTTGGACTAACGAGCCAATGTGGGTTCTATCGAGAGTACGACGACGTCGACAAACGGACGACGTAATCGTTATGACTATCAGATGACACACACACACTCACACACATAGACCATGTAACCCTATCCGGACACACCTATGCCATCTATATGGACGGCTACAGGTCAAGAATATGAAAGTNCAGGCCGATGGCAAATAGACGTGGAATCAGAGTTGGACCAACGAGCCAATGTAGGTTCTATAGAGAGTACGACGACGACGTCGACAAACGGACGACGTAATCGTTATGACTATCAGATGACACACACACACTCACACACATAGACCATGTAACCCTATCCGGACACACCTATGCCATCTATATGGACGGCTACAGGTCAAGAATATGAAAGTGCCAGCATCACTGTAAACAAGCCGCAGAAATCCTCACTGATGGCTCGAATTGGCTCATTCAGAGCCTACCAACACTGACTGAGCCAGTCCAAGCTAAACTACCCGCCTCGAACTCAAATGTGAAACTATTCACCTGAAACTTTGCCAAACCCTGGATTGACTACACAAAATCACTCCATGTATGTAGGTTCACTGACAGGAAACTAGGTGGTGATAGGCACAGGTAGGGCAAATCCGAGTAAAGATGGAAACCGAATCGAGGATCCAATTTCGCCCGAACTAAACAAACCCTTCACCCTCTGACGCCGGCCAATTAGTACCAGGTTGGTCTCAAGCGGCAATGACTTGTACATCGGTTCTCATAAGTCAAGATTTTGGCCAGACATAGATTCGGCAGCCCCTCCAGCTCCACAGACAGGTCATTTGGGACGAATACATGGCCTGCTTCAAGGTTATGAAGTACAGTTACCACTAAAGCCATGGAATCGTTGATGGGTTTTCTGAATAGAGGGCGATCGGTTCAGGACTCGATCACTGGACCGTACGTGTCGAAACGGCGGTCAGTGCCTCTCATGCCAATTGTTGAAGTCAGCCTGTTAATTCGAAGACCGAAAACGCAGTCGCAACTTTAATGAATCCGCCATGCTTTCAACGTAAAGCAATAATGAATCCCTGTATTTAGGAACATAATCATCAAACAGGTGTTCATGGTAGATTTTTTTTNTTTTTTTTCGAGTTCAGTTCATTGTCTGAGGACAATTTTTTAAATTTTCGTATTTTTTTCTGTTCCAGACGGATTACACCGAAAAATAATCTCGTGAAAGGGAGAACAGTGAGAGTGTCTGGCCTTAATTGTCAACTATTAATTGACGTTTCCATTGAATCTTGCTCAAAATCTGAAAAAAGGACCTCTTCCTGTCCAACTAGTAATCTTGAGCAGTATTAGCAAGATGGAGGAGGTGGTGTAATGGCAAACAGGGCGCGCTATCACTCAGGCATGGTTCGGAATCTTATCCTGCATCGATATTTGCCTAATCCAACCGAGCATTCCATTCCTCAGGTGTCTATGAATGGTATCAATTTCGTCTGGGAGGATAAATCCACTGACTTGTGCATCGTCTGACAATCGCAAGTAGTTGTACAGGCCCCTACACAATCAAATCGCTCCTGCATACAAATCTAAATGTAAGTCGAATGCGGGGGCGCATCCCGCAAAGGAGATAAGACTTTATCCTCATCTTTATAAGTTGAGATTATCCTCTTAATCCACTTGGATCCAGGAAATGACTAGTTATCAAAACAATGACATCACTGCTTTGACGGTTTGATAACCAGTAATCCAGTAATTGTGAGCAGTACAAGTTGAGAAGATAGTCAAGTACTGCTTGCAGGCCTATCCTACCATCAACCATACCATTAACCAACTACACTTCAGTATTAGGCCTGGCAAAGAAATTAGGCATCTCCGAAACCGAAACGAGTTCTGATTTACCATTGACCAAGTATGAGCCGTAGGAAGTATCTGGGAAAGTCAAAATTCAATCCAATCAATTTCAAGTCAATTTAATTTGAGTTCGAAAAACCTAATAAAGAGCAATAAGTAGATAAACAGTTCACTTAGACAGAATCAATTTTTGTAATCACTTAATCAAATAAATTACATTTCCTGAAATAAAATAAAAATTATTGATAATTCAATCGAATCAATTAAATGATAAGGGTATGATAGAATGAATTGTCGGGTTCCGTTCAAAGGAGGTGCAAAGTGCAAATCAATTTGATAAATAGTCTTTCCTGTCGATTGTAAATAAGAACCTGATTTCTAGAAGATTCGTGACTCTCAAATGTTCAGATTGAACCAGTCGGTTTTTCTCCTTGCCCAGGTAAAACCCGGACGTTGCAAGTTGATGCGGAAGCGAGGACGCGCTGTATGCAATATTACACCTCGACAATGTACATAACACAAGACGTGTGTGCATGCGAGCAGACCAGAAAACGGCGGAAAACGGAAACCCGACGTTGACAAAGGAAAACACAGAGAGAAAGAACGAGTGTACGGTGAAGCCGGTTGGAGTCCCGAAGCTGTACAGCGGCGCAGAGCTCGGCGGGGGGCGCTTATAGTGGTGGCAGGTTGACGAAGAAATTGAGCCGTTGACAATGTTGCACCTAGCTGACGGCACTGCACATAGCTGGAGCTTGTCACCCGGATCCAAGCTGTTGGTTACACCTCATCGGAATGAAGCAGCAGAGGATGTGGGGCATGAATGTAATCGTCATCGGAGCGCGAAATGGCATTTTCTCGATCAAATACACTCACACATTAGTTGACGTCCTCCAGTCGACCCGTCCGTCCGACCACCACCAAGGCCAGAATCGATCAGTTGAAGCGCGTATGGGAGGGTGAGAATGAATTGAGCATAGTGAGTTTTCGTAGGATCGACAAGCCTCTGGGGACAATTGGTGAATGGACTCAGCAATCATGTGTCTAGAAGGGCCATCTCCCTGAAGACTCAACGACATGAATCAAACTGCTCTCAAAATGGTGCCGGCAGCGCAGAGACTAATTCTCGGCTTTACAACTTCAGTTCCGATCGGAAATTTTTATAGGGACCTACCCATGCGCCTAGGAAAAAAAAGAGGGGCAATCTGAACTCTCTATCCGGCATTCACGAAAAATTGGAAATCAGCTAGACCAAAGTCCTGAGATTCATGAATTGCTGGTTAAGGACTCAAAAACCCTTCTTCTCCTGCTTGGGCCAGGTAATCAGCACCAGAAATGTATCAGAAGGTAAAATATTGAGAGCAACACTGCTCTTGAAACCGTTGTGAAGTCCAGGCATCCCATACAATTCTCCAACAATCCTGGACAGAAGCCGAATGCGAAGCCCATTCTTCAGGTTTGCACCAATGAAGGGAGGGGGGACCGCTCCATCCTCTTCAACGCTCTATTTACTGCCCAAAACTAATGTAAACAAGTCCTCCTGATACCACCCAGACACATCATTGCACTTTTCTCTTCAAAACTTTACAAAGGAGCCAATCCATTGAGCGCTCTGTTTTTCCTGCCTTCAGTTTCCTAGACTAAAAGCAAGCCCGCCGTCATGAGGACAAACCCTCAACACTGCCAATCAATCTCTTTGCAGTAAAGTAACACAGCAACGATTCAATCAGAATAATGGCTTGTCGCGGTCGATCCATCCTACTAATGTACCCCCAACGAATCCAATTGATGACGGGGGTTTTCGTAACAATACCGTCAGCAAATGGCCACGAGGACACGGTGATGGTTCCACTACAGTGTACGCGGGGTAGGGACAGGACAAAGGATGATGCGGACGTGAAAGG